CAAATTGCTCTTGGCTCACAGAGTTGCCTGCTAACATGGGAAGATTAATCAATATGCGTCATCTCTATAATAGCGGAACTAAGTTGGAAAAGCTTCCTCTAGAAATGAATAAACTAAAAAATCTCCGAACATTAACTAATTTTGTTTTGGGAAATGATAGTGGCTGTGGGATCGGGGACCTAGGGGTTCTTCAGGATCTCCATGGAAACCTTGCCATTTCTGGGTTGCAGAACATTGTTCATGTGCAGGATGCATCAGTGGCCAAGTTGAAAGATAAGAAGTACATTAAGAAGCTGTCTCTGGAATGGAGTGGTTGTACAAGCGATTCACAAATTGCTAGAGAGATTCTGGACAATCTTCAACCTCACAGAAATCTGCAAGAACTTGTCCTTGCAGGGTATGGGGGTACGAGATTTCCAGATTGGCTGGGAGCTCAGTCATTACCTAATTTAGTATTTCTTTGTCTCTGCGACTGTGACTTTTGCGTTATCTTGCCGCCACTTGGGCAATTACCTTCCCTCAAAGAACTCTGTATCAAAGGAATGAAGAGTGTGGTTGCTGTTGGACCTGAGTTTTATGGAAACTGTTCTGTCGGAATTCAGTCATTTCAATGCCTGGAAATTTTGAAGTTTTCGGGCATGGAACAATGGCAGGATTGGTTCTTTCCTGATGGAGAATATAGTACTGGTGTTTTCGCTCGTCTACGGGAGCTTTATATAGCAAAGTGTGACAACGTGAAAGTAGATATTCCTTTCTATCTTCCATTCTTGGAAAAGCTTTTGATTGATGGATGTCAAAAGCTTGGGGCTTCACTTCTAACGGCTCCACCAAACAACTGCTGCTATGAATTCCTTACAGATTTGGAAATAAGTTGGAGTTTGAAGTCTTTTCCATTTGACTTGTTTCCAAACCTTAGGCATCTTGATCTCATCAGTTGTAGGAAGCTTGAATCCTTAACATTTTCGAAGAGCAGCAGTTTCCATGAACTTAAATCACTATCAACAATAAGAATAGAAGAGTGCCCCAATTTTTATTCTTTTCCCGCTGGGGAATTTCCTGCTCCCAACCTGAAATTTCTTATTCTCAGAAACTGCTGTAAATTGAAGTCATTGCCTGAAAGCATGCACAGGTTACTTCCATCACTCGGCAGTTTGAACATATTGAAATGTCCAGATATTGATTCATTTCCAGAAGGAGGCCTTCCCTTCTCTTTGAGTTGCATTTCGATACGTCACTGTGACAAACTTTTTGAGCAGCGAATGAAGTGGGATTTGCAAAGGCTCACCCATCTCGCGTCCTTGTCAATCAGTTCTGTAATTGAGGATCTGGAGTCCTTTCCAGATGAAGGACTGTTGCCCTCCTGGCTAGAACGTCTCTATATATCAGAATGTCCAAATCTGAGGAACCTGGATGGCTTGGTGCTCGGGAAGCTCACATCTCTTCAAGAATTGGGGATCTACTCTTGCCCTGAGATTCAACGGTTGCCTGAAGAGGGGCTACCAACCTCTCTTACATATTTAAAAATACAGTCTTGCCCTATTTTAGAAAAACGGTGCCAAAGAGAGGAGGGTAAAGATTGGCAAAAGATTGCTCACATACCTGGACTAGATATTGGTTACTAATCTTTGGTGTGATTATATATTCTTTATCTTCAACCTGTATTTACAAGTAGCTTTAAGTCACAGAGTATTTGTCCGGTGGGTAGGCACATTCCTATTTGGCATATTATACACCCTATGAAGTAATCTTTTTCACCATCTTCTTCTCTATTTATTTTTCAGTTCTCCAATTTTTTCAAGCTTAAAATTTTACCATTGCATTATGTTTTATCGTAATTGGTTTTCCATTAGTTCTGTTTATTGAAATCCATGCCTGTAATTGCAGAGTCAGTTTTATTAAGACATTTATGGAATAAATTTTTCTAAAGGTATAATGTACTACAGCTTGATATTTCATACTTGATAGTTCTCCAAGGCATATATTTTTTTTTCCCTCACCTCTGTATTGTTCAGATGTGATGAATTTTGTTATCTCTAATATGAATTATTTATATTTTTATATGATTTATTTAAAAATTCTTCAGTTTTGGTCAATTTACTTCATTTTTGCTCTGATTTCTTTAAAGCAAGAATGTATAATTTTCATATTTGGACCAAATTTAGATCTCAGAATGTATTCTCAAGAATAATTCACTTGCTCCAAGTATATTAACTATCTGATAACAATTGTTATGCAATTTAAAGCTCTTTTCTCTGCTAACAGCAAATGAATGATAATCTTATTTAAGCAAATAGAATCCTTCGATTCCGAGTTACAAAGTCTACAAGTAAATTTCCTGCGTAATTAAGTTGTTTCTTGAAGTAATTTCACTCATCCATCTTCTACATCATTTTGAGAAACTGAACGAGGAATCAACAAATAGCTCACTACAACTTTCCTACTCCTTTCTTTGCTCAAAGTGGAAAAAATTCTGGTTCTTTTCGCCGAATATTTGCTCACAAGTTAGTACTTCCCAAAATGCATTCCCAAGAGATGAACAAGCATCGTTGCAATCAATCATAATGGAAAGGAGAAACACTTCCCATCCTGTTAATTCAAATCGGAAACGGATCACCCTTGTAACGTCAACAATATTATTGCAATTTGGTTTTCTAGACTGATGGGCAACCAATGATTATGGTTGACACCAGCTTGCCATTCCGCAGTCTTTGGATACTCTGGTGAACATCATAAGCTGTTTTTGTCAATCTAATTGATTAGCTCATGTTCTTCAACCATGGCTTTTTTGTTTCATGACCCACCCTAATTAAACCTGTAGAACCATAAAATTTAGCAAATTTCACCAGGAAAATGGAGAAGCTTTTTACTATTTTCCAAATCTTACGAGTTTCCAAATCGACAAACAAGTAACAAGTGCTGTGAATTCTTACTTTATTGCCACAGCACAAGGGAATTATTTTAAGAGGCATGTTTAATTGTCCCTCTCTAAGGGTGTAGTCAGGCATCTTCAACTGCCCAAGGCCTTCAGCCACCATTCAGAGCATTCTGACACTGTCCTCACCAATAACTGAAGATGGCTAAGATGAAGGGTTCTTGAGAAACCTCTAGGACCTTAAGTTCAGGGCCTCAGGGCTCAACAACAATCCAAGCAGCTATATGCTGAACCAAAAAATTTCCATTATCACAAAACATAGTAAATCAGATCTTAAACAACATTCTGAAAGAAAAATCCTTCAAGACACTTCTAATAAATATAAAAACATCTAAATATTCCTCCATCTTGGAACCAGTTGTTCAATCAATCATTGAACAACCTGAAACAGAGATCTACCATATAAGCATGGGATGTAAATCCCATGATCACCAAAGCTTTCTTCGCCTTCATTTATAACAATAAACCTCATTAACTAGAGTATAATCAACTAAAACTAGTAAAACTACATACAAAAAAATGTATAACAGTTAGAACACCATTTTCCTGTGGAATACAGGAGTGACAATTGTTTCAGAGAAAGAGTCAACAGAAGGGAAAGTATAACAAAGTGTTAAAAAGAAATGCAAAACAAAGCAGAACCCAACAAAATATGGGAGAAGAAGAAGAAGATGAAATCATAACAGAGCAGAACAGAGCAGAGAAGAAAATATGGGAGAAGAAGACAAAAATTTTTGTTATATATTTTTTCTCACACTAAGCAAATGGGTTTTACCACTAGCACATATATACAGACTGCTAAACACCTACAGCCAAAGGGCAACATCACAAATAAATGAAAAACAAAAATAACAAACTTTACATGTCATCAACAAATACAAAAACTGTCATCAGTAATCTTACACAACGCAATAAGAAATACATATACCTCATGAAAGAATTGTTGGTCGAGTATAATTAATTGTATAAATTAAATCAATCCCAAATTAATTAGCAGAAATTAATAACTATAATCTTAAGTTAAATTAATGCATACTAGAAAAAAGATAATAAATAAATACGTGTTGAAAAATTAAATAAATTTAGAATTTATTAAAAAATTCTTCAGTGTAAAGAAAAAAATCACAGATTAAGTTTAGAATCAAATATACTATTAATAAAATTAAATATAAGATAATCCATTAAAAATTAAATCCAAAACAGAAAGAACAACATTTTTTGGGTGCAGAACTAGAAAAAAGAGGGAAACAGAATCAAGTTTAAACTTCCATTAGAAAATGAAGAAATTGCTGATGTCTGCGATAATATCATCAAGGAGAGAGAATGAAAATCACTTTTTCTTTCTTCTCTTAGTAGCCACTCAACTTATATATATGTGTGTGTATATATATATAAGTTATCTTCTTCATTTCCTCTTGCCGCACATTCTTCTCTCTTTCTCTCTAACTCTCTTTTTTTTTTTTTTTTTTTTTCCTGCAGCACACATATATATATTTATATCCAAAAGAAAATTTCAACCCTAATTCTTTTTTTTTTCTTTTTCTTTTTTTCTTTTCTTTTTTTTTTGAATTACTGATTTACCATTTTTTTGTTTAGGCTGGATACATAACCAACAAGCTCTTCCTCCAGCTTATGAAGAGATGTATACCATACATTGCTCAATATTCAATCAATCCCACATTATTGGTGCAAGACGGATACTTGTTACAATTCACTATCTTGGTCAACATGTCGATTTTTATCAGTGTAAATATTTTTCAATAACATATCTTTATTATTCATTACATTTCGTATCCAATAGTATCTCACGTCAATATCCTTCGTACGACAATGATATGTGACATTATTACTCAAATATAGAGCACTTTGACTATCATTATTCATCACATATTCATCTTGTTTCAAACTCAACTCTTCGAGAAATCTTTTCATCTAAAACATTTCTTTACCTGTTTCAGTTAAAACTATATACTTTGCCTCAGTTGTAGATAAGATAACACATTTTTACAGTTTAGACTACCATGATACAATTCTCCTTGCAAAAGTAAACACATACCCTGAAGTAGACTTCCTGCTATCAAGGTCACCTGCCATATCTGCATTTGCATATCCCTCTAAAATTGGTTCTGAACATTCAAAACATAAATACATCTTAGGAGTACATTTCAGATATCTAAAAATCTATTTTACTGTTTTCCAATAACTCTTACTAGGATTAAAAATAAATCGGCTTGTCAAACCAACATCATGAACAATACTTGGTCGAGTGCAAACCATAGCATACATCAAACTCCCAACTGCAGAAGAGTAAGTAACTGTAACGGCCCCGGAAATATTAAAATGAAATGAGTATTTAAATATATCAATTGCGGAAGCGAGATCAAAATTTCAGTTAACATCCCTTACACGAAAAACCAAAAACGTACTTAAAATATAAAAGATTAAACTAACTAAGAGAGAAACTCGAAAATAAAACTATGAGTATGACTACAGAGTCTCTAGGTATCCCCTTCGTCGTCCTCCTGCAGAACGGGCTCGGGAACCATTTCTTCCTGATCTGAAATGGTTAAGTAAGGAGTGAGCTACACTGACCCAGTAAAAACATCACGATATCTCTCCGTCACGGAGGTAAAGGTGGGTAGAAAACACAAAAAGACCAATGGAGCATAATTTACAACAAACTCGCTTATTAACATAAAAACCTTTTCCATCCACTTACCTCGGTGGAATTTATGAAAACAATATAAGAAAACAATAACATTATCATAATCATGGAATAATATAAGCTGTAAAACATAACACTTATCACGCCTCTTGTAATTCAATCATTGTACAACATATCTTTTTCTCATTTACCAGCCTACTAGTATCCGTGGGGGTCCATAGGGGTTCCGCTACCCGTTAACCTTTAACATTCATAATCAGTTTCCAGGGCCGTCCCCATACCCCGTCCGGTATGGGCGCCAAAACCATGAACCTCAATACCCCGTCCGGTATGAGGGTGAAACGGGCCGTCCCCATACCCCGTCCGGTATGAGGGTGAAACGGGCCGTCCCCATACCCCGTCCGGTATGGGCGCCAAAACCATAAACCTCAATACCCCGTCCGGTATGGGCGCCAAAACCATAAGATCTCCATACCCCGTCCGGCATGTGAGACCACAATCCCGGTAGGGTTCCCTACGGACCCGGTCCGTCCACCATCTCCCAGGATATCTAGTCAGGCTGACCCCCATAATACAATTATCAGTCTACACAATCTTTCATTTTCCTTTTCCTCAGTCAGCATCATCAATTCACATTTAAACAAGCAAATCGTAATTCATGCCAAACAGACAACATACAACATCAGTTTTTCAGTCATTCAACCCATGATTAATAAAAACGTAGTATATGCACACAAATCTGTAAAATAAACACATCAAACCTCATTTTGCATTTAAAGCTGTAAACAGGCCAAATAACAGTAAATCACCAATCACACTAGACTCGGGCTCCATTAGCCACCTTAAACAATTTCACACATTCGTTAATTCAAGAAATACCGTTTTATCATTTTGAACTTTAATACCGTGATAGGAAATAGGGTGAGGGGTCCTTACTTGTTTTCGGGATCCGAATACGATTCACAGTGCGCCTGCAGGCCGTCCCTAATTTTCTCTGAATTTTTTCCGGGGAACTGAAACACACTAACAGTACCTGCACGTGTTCCAAAAAAAACCCAAATTAGGCCCAGGGCCTCTTTCGGCCCAAATCGCAACTCCGGCACGGCGGTTCCGCCGTGCTCCGGCGCGGCGGCGAGTCGCCTCGGGTTGGCTGTTTTCGGCCGTTTTCGGCCGAATTCGGCCACACTCGCATCGGTCCTTGTGAGAAAACAACCCTAGGGCCCTCGGGGGGCCAAAAAATCACGGAAAAACGGAGCTTACCAGCGGCGGCGCTCTCGGGTGCGGCGGCTCTCCGGCGAGGTTCGTGTTTTGGTGATTCGGCTCCGGTCAACCTGTAGAGAAAAGAATGGTGATCACGGTGATATAAAAATTGCATCCAATGGAGGCCGGGAAGGGCCTCGTCGGAGGCAAAAACCGATAGGGGGCGCGGCGGCACCGCTGGTCTTCGGCCGCGTATTCCGGCCGTTTGGCCGAGATTTTGGCTTCGATTTGGCCATAGGAGGAATCAGCGTGGAAAAACGAGTCGGGGGTATGAAATTTACCTCGATCGGCGGTCGGAAATTTCCCCGGTGCGGCGGCGGGTGGCGGCGGTCGGCCTCTGGTTCGTCTTCTCCGGCGAGCGGCAGGCGGCTAGGGTTTGTGGTCTGGTGTGGAGGTTCTATTTATAACCCCTTGCCTTTTGATCTCAGCCGTCCATTTTGTTTTAATCTGGGCCGTTCGTTTTTGATTGAATCTGGGCCGTCCGTGCGATTGTATCTGGGCCGTCCGATCGCGCGATTGATCTGGGCCGTCGGATTTCACCCACGCGGATCGCCAACGTGGCTACCTTTCGAAGTGACGTGGTCTTGCCACGTGGCAGGCCCTGGTTGGCCGGGACTGCTGACGTGGCTTTTTTTTTTTTTTTTCTCCTCCTTTCCGAGTGCTACAGTAACAACTGACATTTCTTCTTTTTCTTATTGAGTAACAGGACATAATTTCTTGCTAAGTGTAAAGTGATTAATAAGTGGTGTGCTAATTGGCTTAGCATTCTTCATATAAAATCTGTTTAGAACCTGCTCAACATACCTTTCTTGCGACGACCATAATTTTTTAACTTTCTTGTCACGAGTAATCTGTATACCCAAAATCTATTGTGCTGGTTCCAAATCTTTCATATAAAAAAAGCCAAACAATTCCTTTTTTAAACCATTAATCTCTATAATATCTTGTCCTACTATTAACATATCGTCAACATAAAATAACAGAACGACAAACTTACCATATGAGAATGTCCTGAAGCACATACAATGATCTGCATCTATTCTGGTGTAACTATGACTGACCATAAAAGAATCAAATTTCTTGTACCACTATCTCGGAGCCTGTTTCAATCCATATAAATTCTTTTTCAACATGCAAACCATGTGTTCTTTCCCTTTGACTTCAAATCCTTCTGTTTGGTTCATGTAGATTTCTTCCTCCAAATCACCACGAAGGAATATTGTCTTCACATCTAGTTATTCAAGCTCAAGATCTAAACTGACAATTAAATCAAGAATTACCCAAATTGAGCTCATCTTCACAACAGGAGAAAATATCTCATCAAAGTCAATTCCTTTCTTCTGATTGAAATCCTTTACTACCAAACAAACCTTATATTTCATTAGCTTCTCACTGTCCATATTAAGCTTGTATACCTACTTGTTTTTCAAAGCTTTTCTGCCTTTTGGAAGTTCAACTAACTCGTAGGTATTATTCTGATTCAAAGAGCTCGTCTCTTCTTCCATTGCTTTCAACTACTAAGACTTTTCTTGATGGTTCTAAACTTCTTGAAAGCTTTTTGGTTCCCCCTCTTCAGTAACTATAATATACTCAAAATTGGAGTATCTGATAGAAAGATAATATGTTCTAGTTGATCTTCTAAGCTAAGGTTCTTCTGTAACCTGGGATGCAAGGGGCTGCTCCCCCTGCTCAATATCATATGGTACTGAGATATTATCAAACCTTTGATCATCATGTAACTCTCTCTCGTCTGTGGCATCTCTGATCGAAGGATAAACTAGTGTAGGAAGATGAATATCTTCACTTATAATCTTTTATGTTGTCTCAAAATCTAATAAGGTCTTGTGCTCATCAAAAATCACATCTCCAGACCTGACGACCTTTTTCTTCACTGGATCCCACAATCTGTATCCAAACTTTGTATCTCTATAGCTTAAAAAAATACATGAAACTGTTCTATCATAAGCATTTATCTCTGCTCCTTAGGTATATGCATAAATGTCTTGCAGCCAAATACCTTCAAATGAGAATAATTGACATCTTTCCCAGACCATGGAGATCGATTCATCAAGTAGCAAACATTGTATAGTGCTTCACCCTAAAATGATTTTGGTAAATTAGCCATTTTCAACATGCATATGACCTTTTCAAGGAGAGTCATGTTTGTTCTTTCAGCTACACCATTATGCTGAGGAGTACCAGACATTGTCTTCTCATATCTAATTCTATGCTATAGGCAATAATTCTCAAACTTCTTTGAAGTGTATTCACCACCATTGTCATTACGAAAATACTTTAAATGAGTTTTTTTCTCTCTTTCCACCATGACATGAAATTGCTTAAAATACTGAAAAACCTGGTCTTTTGTTTTCAACACAAACACTCAAATCTTTCATGAAGTATCATTAATAAAAGTAAGAAAATATCTGCTACCTCCTGAGGTTTCTACATCAATAGGACCATACACATCAGAGTAAACTAATTCAAGAACATTCTTTTTCTTTTCAGATGAGCTAGTAAAAGAAATTCTCTGTTGTTTACCATACACACAATAATTACAAAGGTTTAAACTCATACCTTTTGCAAAAGGAATAAAGAACTTCTTTGCCAAAATCTGCAACCCCTTCTCACTCATGTGAGCCAGCCTCTTATGCCACAAGTTTGGTGAAACATCATCTACAGCTGCATTCAGTGCACCTCTAATAATATTCATCTGAGTCTTGTAAAGTGTATGACACAATTTGCCTCTAACAATTATAATTGAACCTTTAGTGAGTTTCCATTTTCTACCACCAAATAGATTGTAATAACAATATAAATCAAGAGCATTTGTAGAGATCATATTAAAATGTAAATCTGGTACATACCACACATTCTTTAGATTCAACGTGCAACCAATATCTGTCTACACACAACCAATATCTATCTACACACAAATATCACCAATACCTATAATGTCTACATAGCTGGTATTACTCATTTTCACTATGCCAAAATCTCCTACTTTGTACATAGTGAAGACATCTCTTCTAGGTGTAGCATGATAGGATGCTGCAGAATCAACAATCCACTCAGTATCAGAATCAGTGACGTGGCTATAATCTTCAACAAATGAAAGTACAACCAGTTTTTCATTATCATCAGCTACAGTTGCAGTAGTGTTCTGATTATCTATCTTTTTCTGATTTTGTTCATTTTTCCAAATCCTACAATTTCTTTTTATATGTCCCTCTTTGCCGCAATGATAACAAGTGAACTTACTGTTCACCTATGATTTACATATGGATCTATAGCGCCCCTTAGGACCTCTACTTTTACTTCTATCCCTATTCTCTATTATTGTAATAAGTGCCTGTAAAGTCTCAATACCCATATCTTTTCTTTTAGTCTCTTTATTGTGCAGATTATCTATTACCACAAGTAAAGACAAAATACCATATGGAGCAGAATTGTTAAGAGACACTACTAAGGTTTTTCAACTGTCTAGCAAAGAGCTTAAGAGCAATAACTTCTGCAATTCATCATCTAGAGCCATTTTTATTGTATTTAACTCATTTACCAACTATTGAAATTTACTGAAGTGTTCTGCAATGATTGTCCATCTCTCAACTTCAGATTAACAAGCTTTCTAATAGTAAAAGTCTTATTCCGAGCATTTTTTATCTCATACATATTTTTCAATTTGTTTCATAAAACCTGTGCAATTACTTTTTTATTTATGTAATGATAGACACTATTATTCACCAACTTTCAGATAGTTCCTACAGTCTTTCAATGTATTTTCTCCGAATCATCATGTGATTTTCCCATTAGCTTAGTAGTTCTTAATTTACTCGGATCATATAAACCCCTAAAATAAAGAAAATCCTCCATCTTTGACTTCCAAATTAAATAATTTGAAGAAGACAATTTTATCATAGTAGCAGCAAATTCTTTCATTCTATTTCATACAATTAATCTCAGATCACAAATCAATTAACAAACTAGTCAACCTGGCTCTGATACCACTTGTTGGGTTCCGAACAAGAATATAATTAACTGTGTAAATTAAGTTAATTTCAAATTAATTAGTAGGAACTAATAAGCATAACCCTAACTCAAATTGATGCACAATGGAGTAAAAATAATAAGCAGATAATAGTTGAAAAATTAAATCGATACATAATTTACGTAGAAAATGTTTTAGTGTAAAGGAAAAAACCACGGGTCAATATTCAATCAAATACATTATTAATAAAATTAAGTACGAGATAATCCACTAAGAGTTAAATTCAAAAAACAACCTTTTTTTGTGTGTAGAACTAGAAGAAAGAGGCAAACAAAAGTAGAGAGAATGAAAATCATTTTTTTTTTCTTCTCTTGGTAGCTACTCAACTTGTAGATGTATATGTGTATATATATATATATATATATATATAAGTTCTCTTCTTCCTTTCCTCTTGCGGTACACTCTTCTCTATTTCTCTCGGTAAAAAGTGAGAAAGGTAATAAAAGAGTTTTTAAATATTTCTTCTGTTCCTTCATTTATGGTGCATAGACATGCATTTATATACTAATCGAGAGAGAAAAAAAATCCTAACAGATACAACCACCCAATATTCATTTTCGATCTTGACCATTCATTTTCTTCGAAAACTCTAGCAGGGATATTTTTCAATCTTTTACACTCTCTAACTCTCTTTGTTTTTCTTTTTCTTTTTTTTCTTTTCTTTTTTTTTTTTTAACTACTAATTTGCCCCTTTTTTTTTGTTTTTGTTTGGGCTGGATACATAACCAACAAGAATCACAGTCTATGGACACCATAGGCAGAAAACTGACCCCATCACAATATACAAGAACTTAATGGCTTGCAACAAACTTCGCAGTTCTGCAGTGCCTATGAATAATTTTGAAGTTACTGAATCACAAACTCATTTATCACCGATCACGCACCTTTGGTATAGGTAAAATGCAAGGTGGGGCTCCCTCATTGTGCAGTACTTTGTAATAAGTATCTGAAATGGAACTCAACCACTAAACCAGATTTCTGTATCTCTACAAGAAGCTCTTCTGAACTCCTTTGTGTTACCTTGCCCACAATGGCCTCTGATTAATTCAGTATATGTTACTATATCCGGATCACATCCCCTTCTCACCATTTCATCATACAGCTGAAGGGCATAATAAATGTCCTAATTTAAGCACATCGGGGAAAACACCTTTCTGTATCATCTCATCGTAATGCTCCTATTTATCACTAAATTAATCTTAGTGGTTACATATCTTGGAATTTCTTTTCCTTAGGAATTTAAATGACCAAGAGTCAGATGGCATGCATCGTTTTTTTACTCATCCTTGAGCCCTTTATTGTTTTCCGCATTCCAATAGCAAAATTCCAACATTAGATTCCTCTGAGTGTATAGACCTGCAAGTCTCTTTTTATTCATCTTATCCATATTTTTAGTTCTTAGGATGAGACTTTCACTACTATGTTTTGGAAGGCTAAAGTTGCTTGTAAGATAAAGGTTTTTGTTTGGACTGTTATTCTTAGTAGCATCAACACTTTTGATCTGTTGCAAGAACGCAGGCCAAACTATGTTCCCTGCGTGATGTGTGTATTATGTGGTTCAAGAAGGTTGAGTTCATTGGCATCCCTTTTTGCTTTAAAAGGTGGCCTGAAGGCTCTTGTTCAACATTTTTTAGACTTTCAGCTTTATCTGTGTTTCTCCCCCTTCCCTTGATTATTTTCTCACAAAAAAGGAATCCAAGGAACTTCAAATTAATTTGCTATTTATTTTTATCCATCAACTGATAACTAATATCTGAGAATCTCTAGTTTTAACCCAAATCACCAAGTTAGCAAATTTAACCATAGTTTGCCCTATGTTATTATGTCTGTATATATCCCTTAAGTCTAATGTTCGTAACAAAATTATCTTTTGGTTATGATATTCATGATATATTTAGGGTGAAGGTATATGGTATCTCCAATTTTTGCTATATGCATCTGTTGCCTAAATAATGATCTTTGACTAGGACACACACCTACTACTCACTGATGGACTCGAGAGAATTCTCCGTAATTTAAATCGTCCAGATGCACCTCCCCGAGAAGTTGACAAGTCTCCTGGTGTAGTCAGAACTGCTGACTGGCTTCACAATGATCAGACAATATTAAGTTCCTGTACTGATATTGGCAGTGTAAGGTACAAAATATGACTAAAAGTCTGTGCGTATGTGATCTGATTTTCTATATTTTGCCAGCTGCTTTTCTCTCTACTGTTTGTTGGATTGGATCTTTATGTTGGTTTCTCTATTTCAAATATTCACAAGATATTAACTTCTTTGCATCCCTTCCAGCAGTAGAGTAAAACTTAGTTGTTACTATATAAACCTAGATGTAGTCTACTTCAGTTTGTTTTTAATACTCAACTTGCTGTGTTATTAACTTTATTATCCTCCATAACTTTTGCATTATGTGTTCCTTTTATTTTCTTGTTTGCTGGTGTTCTTGTAGGTTATGGGATGTAAGAAGTGGCAAAATTGTTCAAACACTAGAGACCCAGTCACTTGTAACTAGCGCCGAAGTGAGACAGGATGGACGCTATATAACCACTGCTGATGGATCTACTTTTAAGTTTTGGGATGCAAATCAGTGAGTTTTGGTGAAGAGCTACAATATGCCCTGCAATGTTGGGAATCAGCTTCATTAGAACCAAAGCTTGGGAATAGGTTCATTACTGGGGGAGAAGATATGTTGGGTCCATCCATGTGTTTAATTTTCACACTGGCGAGGAGATGGGTAGGTCACTTTCTCTGTGTTTCTTCATAAAACACTTACCGGAATAAGAATGAGAATCATAGTTGAAATGAATTCAGAGTTTGAAGAGAACAAAAATTTGTTCTTAGTGATTTCCAAAAAAACTACGTTGTTTATGTTTTCATGCATAAATATATATGTTTTCATGTACTGTATGTGAATTTAAAGAATTAAATTAAAATTATGTTTACAGGTATCAAATGGAACCTAGTTATGCATTAGCTTTTATAATCTTATTAACCATCTGTTCTAGACATTGAATTACATTAAACAAAAAATAATTGAATTAATTTTTATGCATATATTAGGTATATATTAAATTAATTATTTTTTTTATAATTTTGTTTGACGCGGACAGGATTTATATAATCCATTAACATCTCCCATTTGCTACTCAACGTGAGGCCGCCCACCTTCATCCCTGCTTGCATTATTATTATATTAATACTTTCCAGCTTCAATTGTTTGAATACTTCTATCTTCTCAGTACTTTTCTTCATCACAACAATGGCTGCATCCATGGTTGGTGGAGCTTTCCTCTCAGCTTTTCTCCAGGTTCTGTTTGATCGGATGGCTTCCCCTGAGGTTTTAGATTTCGTTCGCTGCAGAAAACTCAACACCAATTTGCTCAAGAAGTTGAAGCTCACTCTGCTTTCCATTTATCCCGTGCTCAATGATGCTGAAGAGAAGCAGATAACAGATCCAGCAGTCAAAGAATGGCTTGATGAACTTAAAGATGCAGTCTACATTGCAGAGGACCTCCTGGATGAAATCGCCTTTGAAGCTTCACGGTGCTTGTTGGAAGCTCGAGACGAAGCAGATTCAAACCAGGTATGGACTTTCCTTCCATCTATTCCTAGTTCAGTTGACAAGGAGATAGAATCGCGTTTGGCAGAGACACTTGACACGCTAGAATATATGGCTAACCAGAAGGATGTACTCAGTTTGAGAGAAGGTGTTGGTCGAAACCTCATTACAAGTTTTCCAACGACTTCTCTGGTTGATGATTATTATGTGTTTGGTAGAGATGAGGAGAAGGAGGCAATGATTAACTTGCTGCTCTCTGATGATGCAAGTGACAGGAATATAGGTGTGGTTGCTATCGTGGGCATGGGTGGTGTTGGCAAGACCACCCTGGCTCAGCTGGCATACAATGATTGTAGAGTGAATAATTGTTTTGAAATCAAATTCTGGGTATGTGTTTCACAAGAATTTGATATATTTAGGATTACTAAAACAGTGCTCGAGACAATTTCTCCAGGGATTGTGGATATCAAGGATCTTAATCTGCTTCAAGTTAAACTGAATGAGACTTTGAAAGGGAAGAAATTTCTTATTGTTCTCGATGATGTTTGGAATGAGAATTATGATAACTGGGACTCCTTAAGGAAACCTTTCTCATCTGGAGCTCAAGGAAGTAAGATCATCGTGACAACACGAAATGAAGGTGTTGCATCAATGATGCAAACTATTCCAACTCGCCATCTAGAAGAATTATCAGAAAGTGATTCATGGCTGTTATTTGTGAAACACGCCTTAGACAACAGAAATTCAGAAGCATATCCGAATCTTGAAGCAGTTGGCAGGCAAATAGTCAAGAAGTGCAAAGGCTTGCCTCTAGCTGTGAAGACATTAGGTGGTCTACTGCGTTCCAAACAAAGTCTCGAGGAATGGAATGAGATTTTTGAAAGCAATATCTGGGATTTGCCAGATGATATAAGCAACATTCTTCCAGCTCTTAGACTGAGCTATCTTTTTCTCTCATCGAATCTGAAGCAGTGTTTTGCTTACTGTGCTATATTCCCCAAGGGCTACGAGTTCAAGAAGGAGGAATTAATATTAATGTGGATGGCAGAAGATCTTTTACATCGACCTAAAGGAAAGAAGAAGATGGAAGATATAGGGGATGAGTACTTCAATCATCTGACATCGAGGTCCTTTTTTCAAAAATCAACTCGAGATAAATCTCGATTCATTATGCATGACCTTATTCATGATTTGGCTAAATCTGTGTCAGGGGAATTCTGTCATAGTTTTGAGAGTGAACCGTCACATAAAGTTGGCAGGAAGACGAGATACAAGTCTTTTTCCAGGGAATATCATGATAATGATAAGTTAAAGAAACTTGAGACATTTTACGAAGCCAAGTACTTACGCACCCTCCTTCTGTCTCCTTCATTGTTATATAAGTGCAGTTCTATTAAGGTACCTAATGACTTGTGGCAGAAATTTCGGTGCCTACGTGTTCTCTCTCTGTCCAATTGTCACATAAAAAAGTTGCCTGATTC